TGTTTCTCTCTCAACGGAAGCATGAAAATGTTTAAAGACCCCAAGAACTTGGTCTTTATACCTCAAGGCATACACCCATAGTTTCCTTGAGCAATCATCAATGAATGTCACAAAGTAACGTGCACCACCATGCGTCTTTGTCTTCATAGGACCACAAACATCTGAATGTACCAATTCAAGCAACTCTGATTTTCTGAAAGATGGACGAATCTTGAAGGACGCCCTGTTCTGTTTCCCAGCCAAGCAGTGACTGCACCTTTTTAAATGTGCATCCTTCACTCCTGACAGAACATTCTTCTTCGCTAAACAATCAAGACCCTTCTCGCTGATGTGACTGAGTCTTCTATGCCATAATTCTAAAGAACTATCACTCTCGACTGCATTGACAGAATCAGCAGAGACTGAAGCACTGGTCCAGTATAAACTTGAACACTTCTTCCCACGAGCCACAATAAGAGAACCCTTAGTGAGTTTGCATTGTCCATCACCAAAGGTACTCACATAACCTTCATCATCCAAAACACTAGTAGATATCAGATTCAAGAGAATATCTGATGCATGTCTGACATTCTTCAACACTAACTTCATCCCAGTTTTGGTTTCCAGGACAACAACTCCAATGCCAACAACCTGTGAACGACCATCATTACCCATCTTCAATACCCCATAATCACCTGGAGTATAAGATGTGAAGAAATCTTTCCTTGACGTCACATGGAAAGCGGCACCACTATCGATAACCCAACTTGATTCATCAGAGGCAACATTAATCAAGTCGTTATCAGAAACAACTATCAGATCACCTGAAGTCGTGGCTGCAACATGACGATCATTTTCACCATCTTTCCCTTCTGGCTTGTTCTTGTCTTTGTTCTTCAGCTTGAAGCAATTTTTCATTAAATGCCCCTTTTTATGACAATAATGGCACTCAACATTTTTGTATTTAGATCTGGACTTGCTCCTGCTCTTGCCCCTTTTTAATTCTCCATGATCTTTGTCTTTGCTTCTCCCCCTATTTTCAGTAACCAAGACATCAGATTTTGAAGTAGATGTCTCATGAGTTCTACGTCTCACTTCTTCATTCAGAACGGCAGCTTTGACATACTCCATATTTACTGTACCACCGGGAGCAGAACTAATCAAAGACACACGAAGATTTTCCCAAGAATCAGGCAAAGTATTCAGCAACCAAAGTCCCAAAATCTCATCCTCGAACTTTACGCCCATGTTTGACAACTGATCAAAACACCCTTGAAAATCATTCAAGTGGTCAGAAATAGAAGAACCTTCCTTGAATCTCAGATTCATAGCTTGCCTGAGCAAATACAGCTTGTTATTCCCTGTTTTTGATGCATACAAGGATTCAAGCTTGTCCCACAAAGATCTAGCATGAGATTCATTGTAGATGTGATTCAGAACATTATCATTTACCCACTGACGAATGAAACCACAAACCATTTCATGTTCAAAAGCCCACTGTTCAAAACCACTAACCCAACAACGCTCCCTTCTCCGTTCTGAGATCCTTGTCGCGAGGCGCAGCGCCTCGACCGGGAAGGCTCCCAGCTGCATCCCAACCTCGCCGGATGGATCTTGGTCGCCACCGCATTCAATTTCTCTTTGCCGCAGTTTACCCTGCGGTGTCTGGTTCGGTTGCAGGGCTGGAGACTCGACAGATCTCGTCGTTCATTAACGAACTGAGTCCTAACTGGTCGAACCGTACATCTAAACAGACGCTTATAGATGGGTGTGATTATGAGCACTGGCTTGTTGTGATGGAGAAGCCTGCAGACTCTCCTTCGAGAGACGAGATAATTGATAGCTATATTAAAACCCTAGCCCAGGTGGTTGGAAGGTAAGTCCTCTCCAATTTTGCTTTATTCCTGTTGCTTATCTCCTGTGTTTTAGTGTGTTCCAAACAGAAATGAAACTCTTAATATCAGTTCCTCCTGTTTGAATAGATCCAATCATATGCTTTGTTAATGAATCTTAGTTTGCTTATTTGTTCTAAATTCTAACACTAGCTTGTTCTTCATTCTATAACCTACTCTTGACCTTGCATTGAAAAACTTTAGGAGGTATTTAAGATTTGGTTCTTGTGTTGTGCCTAATTTATCTGTTTAATGATTTCTGTAAGCTTGATTGTCTCTTAATGGGTGGTCATATTTCTTTTGTATTGGAGGATCTTATCTTCGCTTTGATGGTACAATGACTTTGTATGAACTTGATTCATTTATGTATGTAATAATAGGTGATTAACTTGTACCCAAAATGAAAGAAACATCTTAATTGCAAGAGTCTAAGTTAAATGAGTTCTTTTTTAGAGGAGGTTAAATGTGTTGATTTATTCTTTTTATGCTACTTATTCTTTTTTAGAGTATCTTTTTACCTTGAATTTATATGCTTTTAAGTTTAATTTAGAAAGTAATTTCTCTGTTTATATGGATTCAAAGAGCATGTTTTAATTTGTTACTCTCAGCTTTTTTGCTTTATAGACCAAAACCCCCTCAAAAATCAAATCTCTTACCAACTAATTTGTTGCAGGCGAGCCATTCATTAATGGTTAGGTACCGTATGATCCTAAATACCATGAGGAGTTTGTGAGAAACTAGGATGCCCCACGTTTTCGGAGGGTGAAAAGACAGGTAGTTTGTGAGAAATCATGAAGAGCTGAATCTAATCTTACTTGTAGTTTTAGTTAGTAGTTTTGAAAGAGACAAATTGGAAGGTTCAAAATGAAAAAAACTTTAACCAGAGAGCCTTCTATCCATGCCAACCATATGCAACAGGATATCCTTGAATCCTGTTGTAGTATCGCCAAATTCCAGCAAAATTTTTTGGTAGGCTCCCTCTCTAGACTTAAAAGAGAAGAAGAAGAAGAGAATTAATAAAATCAATTTACATAATAAAAAAAGTCTATTTGAATCCAAATGATACCTCCTCACACTTGTTGTGTGCAAGATGATTTCTTAAAAATCTGATTATGGTAATACATTCATCTTTTTTACTATTGGCAGCATTTTTATTATTCGCAGCATGGGTATTGGGTATGACTAAAGTGGGAACCATAAATAGTTGTCTTTCAGTCTTTCAGATAAAATGTTTTGGAAGATCTTGCAAGGCTATATTATTTTTGGGCAGAATATACTCCCGGAAGTAGATGATGTAGTGCAGTTTTGCATCAAATGGACTCCCTCCATTAGAGTGTGTGAAGAAGGCGGCCCAGCCATCAAGTGGACTCGATGGCCTAATCGCGTACCACGATGCCCCAGCTGCCATCTTCACTAATGGAGGAAGTTCATTTGGTGGCAAAAATGCACTACCTTATCTACTTCCTGGAGTTATATTCTGTCCGAAGATAAGATAGCCTTGCAAAAGCATCCATATCATTTTATCTGGAGGGTTGAAAGAAAACTATTTCTGATTTCTACTTCAAACTTGCCCATGCTCTTGATGCTGCCAATAAAAAAGAAGGGAGTTTACTATAATCTGATATTTTAGAAATCATCTTGCTCACAATAAGTGTGAAGAGGTATCATTTAGACTCAAATAGACTTTCTTTTATTATTATGTAAATTGATTTCATTAATTTTCTTCTTCTTCTTTCATTTTCAATCTAGGGAGGGAGCCTACTAGAAATTTTTGCTGAAATTTGACGACATCGCTAGGGGTGAGCAAGTACCGAACCGATACCGAAATTTCCCGAAAAAACCGAGAATACCGAACCGAAAAATACCGAACCGAAAAAGTACCGAGAAGAAACCGAACCGTACCGAACCGAATGGTTGGTACGGTATTTGGGAACGGTACGAGGTGACGTACCATACCGAAAATCCCGAACCGAACATATATACTAAAATATTATAAAAAATAATACCCCGGAGTAATATTTTTCATATTCCTTCACTAAATAATACGGAGTAATTTTTAAAAAAAAATTGGTTCAAGTTTTATCATGTGTAAGTTATACTTTTATTTGAGTTTTAGTTTTTGTGTATAAACATAAAAGTATTCACAAAGATTCGAAAAACCCTTTGTTGTCGTTCATTTTTTTAGTTTGTGAAATATAAACTATGTTTTGATATGCATCCCTTGCATTTAAATATTCATTTTTTTAATTTTTCACGTTTTTTTTATTTAAATTCACTTTTAATTTTCAAAAATAAAGGGGCATTGTTAAACTTTAAGGTGTAAAGTAGGTATGTATATTCATCCCAATTTGTACCGAAACCGATACCGAACCATCCCGAACCATACCGAACCGATATGTCGGGATCGGGATCGGTACGGTGTAAAATCCCATACCGAACCGAAATATTTGGTACGGTATCGGTACGGGCTAAATACCGTACCATACCGTACCATGCTCACCCCTAGACATCGCTACAGGATTCAAGGATATACTGTTGCATATGGTTGACATGAAAAGAAAGCTCTCTTGTAAAGGTTTCTTTCATTTTGAACTTTCTAATTTGTCTCTTTCAAAACTATTAGGTAACACTACAGGTAAAATTAGATTTAAGGACACTAAAAGAGAGTCATTTATCATTTACAAAGATCCTTAAAAAATGTGTCATCTATTAAAGAGTCATGATAAGTCTAAATCATGGACACACAAATCGTGTCTTCTTTTCTATACAAGGACACGTCTTGATCTCTCTAAAAGGTGTTCTTAAATGTATAAGAGGACATTTAAAATGTGTCCTTATATTATTTAGTGCTATATTTAGTAGTAGATTTTAACCCGTGTGATGCACGAAAAAAATATTATTTGACGATAACATAATAAAATATATAAATAATTCATAATTTAGCGTATGATATATTCTCTCCGTCCCCCATAGATCTTCCCATTAGCCCTTTTTATTTGTCATACATAAATCTTCTCATTATCTTTTTTAATAATTAAAATACCACAATTACCCACATTTACTTTATTTATTATATCTTTTCAACCTTATTTAATACACCCCACTTATTTTCATTAAAGGTATTTTGATAAACTTTCACCTTTTTTCAACTTTTCTTAAAAACCGCAAAAAATCAAAATGAAAAGATCTTAGAGGGACGGAGAGAGTAAGTCACTAAAATTCAATTCTAAAATGAACACGAAGTACAACATGTGGGTGTGAGTGTTTTGTGTATACACAGACACACACACATAGACCTGGCAAAATATAACTAACTTATTTTTGATCCGAAATTTGATCTGAAAATATTGGGTTTTGAGCAAAGATTTTGATGACCGAATTGGAAGTTGATCGAACCCGAAATGACCTGCTATAAATGAGTTAAATCCGACCAAATCCAAACCCGACCTGACTGACATGTTAAAGTAAGAGTTATTTCAAAATCATACACTTTACTACTCATTTTTAATGTATAATTTTAATTTTAAGACAAAATTTAAGTGTTATTGCATAATTATTTTTTACTTTTTTCTAAAACTTAAGCATTTTTAAAATTTCTTATATATACATATTTATTTATCTAAAAACTTTTTTAGGATTTAAAATAGAATAATCTAATAGATTTAATACATATTTTTTGATATTTTAAATTTATTTAATAGAAAATATAAGTGTTAATATGAATTTAAAAATTTAATAAACTAAAGTCATAACCCGTTGGGTTGATTCTAATCTGATGACACTGGGTCATGAACATACAACTTTTAACCTAAATTTGAATTGACCCGAACTTGAAATAACCTGAACTCGAAGTGATCGAACCCGAACCCGACTTGACCTACTGATTTAGTGATTTGCCAAACTCTCTTGCCCTAATACAAAAAATACTATAACACGTACAAGCATTTCAACAGTTAGGATTTATTTTGCTAAAATCTCGTAAAATATTTTATTTTATCAAATATTTAATCAAATATTCTTTAAAAATCAACATCACTCCTTTCGTCTCATTTTATATTGTCCATTCTAACTTTATGGCATATTTAAGGAAAGAAAAAAAGTGATGTTGGTTTTTAAAGAATATCTTACTTTTTTACAGGTGTGTTGATGAATAAGAAGATAAGGTGGAGACAAGTAACTTAAAAGTTTATTATTATAAGAAATGTGCAACTTATTTTGGGACGGACAAAAAAAACAGATAATTTAAAATGAGACGGAGGGAATACTTTACATCTTTTGTCTCTATCTTTCTTTCACGAGAATTTTTAAAGTAAATTATTTTTGTCTTTACTTATTTTCTTGAACTTTTGATTTAGCTTTTAAGTACATAAGTTTTGCTTTTTTGTTTTTATACATATATTTAAATAAAATAGATTTAAAAAATTTATAATTTTTCTTTTTTTTTAATGCCAGTAAGAGCACTGGAAATACGTTTGAAGCCTCGGGGCTTCAAACCGGGGCGGCAAACTTTCTCTCTCTGTCACGTCAGCTTTAACTTACACCAAAAATTCACTAGAAATGGGTTTGAAGCCTCGGGGCTTCAAACTGGGGCTTCAAACCTTTATTTTTTACATTCTAAATATAGATCTTCTAAATTTAAATTAATAAATTTAAATTAATTTATTATTTAATAATATTGAAACACGAATACAAAAAAATATATTCATTAAAATAAAAAACGACAATATTAAAAAAGATATACTCCTTGATTAAAGAAACTAAGGTAAATTATATTTCGCCTTGATCTCTCTTTGTCTTTGCTCGTATATCATCCGTTTGAAACCCGACAACGTAGAAAGGTCAGTTTTCATGATTTTGAATAAAAAAATTACATTCATTAAATAAAAAAATTGCATCCATTATAAAAAAACTACATTAATTAAATAAAAACATTACATTTATTAAATAAAAAAATTACATTCATGAAAAAATAAATAAAATACTTGAATAATAATTTTTTTAAAAAAAAATGATAGATAGAGAGAAATTTGTATTTGTGTTGAATTTTTAAAAAAAATTAAATTTAATTTATAGAGAAGAAAAGAAGAAAAAATAGGGAGAAAAAGGAAGGAAGAAGGCGTGATAGTTCCTTCAAACCGCGTCAAAACTTTGACGCAAGTATTTTAACGCCTTTTAACGGGGGAGGGGGGGCGGTATTTAACGCCCCCCAAGCGTCAAAGTGAAGATAACGCCTATGGGCGTGATGGATATACCGTGTGCTCTAAGAAAAGATATAAGATAGAAGGCGTCATTTTTTCATGGTCTAAAATTTTGAATACATGGCATAAATTTTTCATCTTATAAAATGTATTCCGTATTATTAGGGGTGAACCGAGGGTCTTATCAAGCTGGAAAGTTAATGGGGAATTGGTAAAGGAAATGAATGGGCAGTGTTATAGGCCGAGTTGGTGATGGATGAAAAGGGGAGGTATGGGTGTTCTCTTGGCTTGAGAATGCAAAGGAAAATGCAGGGGATATGTTTGAAGAGGCCTGGGTGAAATGGTGATATATGCAGGAGGAGTTCTTTTTGGTATTTTTGGATGAAAGAAAAGAATTAAGTTTAAGAAGAAGAAATGGAGAGATATGAAATGGTCAGAGGTAAAATGAAGGGATAAACCAAGTTGGTGTTTAAGAGATATTACACACTCTTATCTTAACTTGGGGTTAAGTCTAGAACTTAATTAAGATATAACACACTTAATTAAATATCTAGAACCTAAAACTCACACTTAAGATAACCACTCTTAAGATATAAATTTAGGAATTTAAATAGCAAACACAACAAGTGTATTACTAAATGGAAAATGGAATTACAATCTGAGTCTCACAAAATGGCCTAAGGCCGAAATAAAAACACACACATAGGGGGGAAACTTCCCAGAAACATCCACTCACAAATCACAAGAATAATATCCATTTGTTTATGTTTTCTTAATGGAATGAAATCAGGGATTTGGTCTTTGATTTTCATGGCTGGTGGCTTGTCCTTTAGTGAGGAAAATCACAAGGAAATAAGTGATGATTCTTGGGAAATAATGGGGGACAAAGGGGTTGGTTTTATTGGCCTTATATTGGGTCATTCANCTCACAAAAGGGCCTAAGGCCGAAATAAATACACACACATAGGGGGGAAACTTCCCAGAAACATCCACTCACAAATCACAAGAATAATATCCATTTGTTTATGTTTTCTTAATGGAATGAAATCAGGGATTTGGTCTTTGATTTTCATGGCTGGTGGCTTGTCCTTTAGTGAGGAAAATCACAAGGAAATAAGTGATGATTCTTGGGAAATAATGGGGGACAAAGGGGTTAGTTTTATTGGCCTTATATTGGGTCATTCATGGAAGGTATGTGGGGACTGATTTGGTGGGTGGAGTGTCAATAAACTCACAAAAGTCTTTTGTCCTTTTGTTATTGTATATTCAGCCTAGGTGGGAGACACAAGGGGGGCAATGGTTGGTCAATGTTGGGGAATAAAAGAGGGGTTGTTTTTGGTCATTAAAAGGGGACAGGGCTGGGTATTATTTATGGGTATTTTGGAGTTATGGCTTTGGGTTACTGTGAGGGAAAACATGGGCAGGAAGTAGGGGCTGGAGGTGGGTCATGGTTTTGGCTCTTTGTGGGTGTTGTGTTGGGATTGTGAGGCTTATTTGGGCAGGGAATGAAAGGAAGGAAGAGAGGGTTTAACTGGTTTATTAAAAGGCTTAAAAGAAGGAAAATAACAACAAACAAAAAGGTTTTGGTTTATACACTCTTATTTTCGGCCATGGCTAAAATAAGAGTAGGAAAAACTTTATTTTGAAAAGGAAATATTTTGGATGTTTAGGGAAGGTATGGGGAGTGTGGGCTCAGCCTAGGGTGGGTGTAGGACAACCATGATGTTGGGTTGGGTTCTAAGACAGGAAAATGGAGAAGTTTCAACCCAATTAATGTCATCACACTTGGGCTTTATTCCCCTGATCCGTCTTTCCCCTGGTGGGCTACGGACGGTCTTCGGGCCTGCTCCCGGATATATATCACGTATAACACACTTCACACCTTTAATCCCCCAGTTTTCCCTATTTACTAGTATATTTTTTTAACATTTGATTTATTTTTTTCTTGATTTCTATGTAGTCCAATTGGGGAGGTTTCAAGATCAACCAAATTTGTTCACTTTATATGTTATTGCATTATTTCATATTAACGGAGTAGTAAATGGGATTTTTTTTTAAAAAAAATTAGAACTCTTCACACGAAAGTCAACTTATTTTTCTTTATAATTTATTATTATTAGAATCAAAATAAAACATATCAGATCAAAATAGACCAAAAAAACTTTACATAAAACTACATTCAAATCAAAATCAAACTAGATCACTTGACTTTGAAGAAAATTTGATTGATGAAAACATTTAAATATAGGAGATGAGTCACAACTCTCAAGTGTAGCGCTCTATTGTTTTTTATATAAAAAATTGGTACAGAATCTATGCACATTTTACCTTTCAAATTTTGTTAAAAATTTTAGATAAGAATTTTGACTTCAAATGCACCAAAATTTAGAGGGTTCACTTTGTAGAGATGAAAATGATATGTTTCGGCCGACTACTTAAAGCAAATTCTTCTATTGTTTTAAGATTTACTCATTTTATGAATCTTAGTATATAAATTAATTAATTAATTAATTAGGCTACTTGAAAAAAAATCAGCTCAGTTTGCGAAAATAATATTAAAAAAATTTACAACAATTTACATGTAGATTTTAAGCACAGAACTTTTATTGGAATTACAACTTATTTTAAAAGTTCAAAACGAATTACAACCAAAATATATTTTTACACATACTGAAATAAAATTAAAAGATATTGGATCAGAGTTCACTTTAAAATAAAATTATCCCAAAGGCCCAAATGCAATTTAAGCTGGCCAGGTCGGGTCGTCAATTGGCAACCCCACACTCAGGCGATTTGGGAAAAATCAAGCGAATTTAGGGTTTCGCTCGGGTGTCGCTTTCTCTCTCTCTCCCTCCCTCCCTATATATGTATCTGAATATGGGGTGCAAGGAGAGGGAGAAGAGCCATAGAGACGACGAAGCAGTGATATAAGGGTTTAAATTGTCATTTTCTCTTCATCTTTTTTTTCTTTGCATCGCTTCGTGTACTGTAAGCTGTGTTTTCCGGCGGGTTTCTGGCGGCGGGTTTGCCGGTGATGCATAATTGAAGAATTGTCCGTACCATCTGAATCCTTTGATGCATAAACACTTCACGCCCTGAGGCACTGCCGCTACCGCCTTCAGTTCTTTTTCTTTTTTGTTTATTTTTTTCATTTTGATATGCTCTCTGAAAGAGTGTTTTTAATTTATTTTTTTCGTGATAAATTTTTTGGATAAATAAAATTTTCATCTCATGAAATTTACTTACACCTTCAGTCACTCTTTTTTTCCTTACTTTTTCTAGTTTATTTTTTTAACATTTGTTTTATTTTCTTCATTGATTTCTTTTTTATGTAGTGCAATTGGGGGGGTTTCAAGAACAATCTATTTTTTTTACAAAGTACTCTTTTTTTTACTCAGTATATCATACTTTATGTAGTACGAAGTACTTTTGTTCATTATTTCTAGAGACAAATTTTATTTATTTTATTGGCCTATTTATGTCACTCAGTTAGTCATTTAATAAAATAATATAGTCATTTCATATCTAGTTTTGTAAATCTTTTAATATACTTCCTTCGTCCTCCATAGATTTTCCCAATAGCCCTTTTTCTTTGTTTACAATAGATCTTTTCATTTCATTTTTTAACAATTTTAATACCACAATTACTCTCACTTACTTTATTTATTACAACTTCACCCATCTTATTTAATACACTCCACCCATTTTTCATTAAGGGTATTATGGTAAACTTTCTCCTTTTTTCAACTCTCTTTAAAAATCATCAAAAGTCAAAATAAGAACATCTTAGAAGGACGGAGGAAGTAATTTTTTAATATAGAAAATTTATTTTAAAATTTTACACCATTTTTTATATAAAATTATTTGAAAATAACTTCAATCAAACATTGTAACGCGCAACAAGAAGTTTATGTTGTGTGAAAGATACTAACCCATAAAAAGAAGGAAGACGAGTCTTTTTATCTATCATACGCTTACAACATTGTGGTAGGGATTGAAGCTTGATCGGATGTAGTATGATCTAAAAATTGTAAAGTCAAAGTTTACCTATGAGTGTAATTAAAGGAATGGGGGGATGTGTTTGGTATGGAGTGAGGGAGGTTACCCGGAGGGTTAGAAGGAATAGATACTATCAATTTTATCATGTCATTCCATGATATTGATTTCAAATGTCATTAGAATCAAGTAGACCATAATATATCATCGAAGTATAATGTCAAATGGATTGTAGAGTTTTATCACTTGATTTTATGAATTTTAGTATAAACAATATAATTGATGCATTTGTCTTTTTGAAAAAATAAAATATTTTTATGTTATTCTATAAAACATGTAAAAAAAGTTTGTAATTCACATGTGAATTTTATGAGCATGAAAGTGCACTTTTAATGAAAACACTCTATAATTTATCTAAAATACTACTTCCGTCACATTGTCTTTGTTTAGTTTTGACTTTGGAACTGTTCATTCAAGCATTTTGACTCATCAAATTCTCTCAATGTGTAAGCCTAAAAATAATCATGTGGGATCTTGTTTGATTCGTCTTAACATATACCTAGATTATTAGGATATACTCCCTCCGTCTGGAAATATTCTTCCCATTTTCCTTTTTGGTCTGTCCGGAAATAATCTTCTCATTTCCTTTTTTAGTATGCTTTTTAAGGCTAAATATCAATAATACCCTTCTATTTTATCATAAATCTACTTTTTTAATAATAAAAAGAGATTTAAAAGTTTATAGTATGTGCATTTTTGAAAATTTTACATTTTTTTTTACTATTCCTTAGTAAGCGTGCCAAGTCAACACGAGAAGAACATTTCCGGACGGAGGGAATAATTTTTATAATTTTTGAATATACAAATTACAAAATAAAATGGATTAAAGAAATGCATTGGATGGTGTGCCAAAAGATAAGTGGACAAAGACAGTGGGACGGAGGGAGTATTTATTTACCTAAAATATTTAAAAGAAATTACAACTTAATATACTTTTACACAAGTACGTACGGTGTAACAAATAACATTCACTTTTTTGTACCATATTATTTGTCTTATTTTGATTTTTTCTTCTTGATTTGGTAAGTTATGAGAAAATCTAACCCGGTGCCCATCCCTCCAAATGCTATTGCATGCATGCCATGGTCTTCTACTTAAAAAATACTCATATCATGAACTACCAGTATTCTGGCATAACCACCACAAATTTGAGATTTTTTTAATTAGTTTTTTGAGGTGTTATGTGTGCCAGATTAACCAAAATACTAAGAGTTTGAATTTCACTGTCATCCAATTTAAAAAAATAATAATATTCACGTTCAATGCTTAATCCTAAACCTAAGAAAGTTCAAATAAGTTGTGTTTACATTCACTACAATGTGATTACATACTCTAAAGAAGGATAAACCCCGTCTGGATTTTTAGTCTAATTACGTGTGCGCAGACCTCATATATTTTTCTCAAATGTGACACTCAGACGAGACGTTCTTGCAGCTTTATGAAATCTCAAGATCATCTCTGCACAATCACTGTGGGCATTGAAACATATATACCAAGAAGCATCAAATGTCTGCTGCTAAAGACATGGATTAGATCAAAACAAAAAACAAAAGCAAAATGAATGCCAATACTTTCAGAGATATATATATATATACCTAAGTTGAGATTCTTCATAGCGTGCGTGACTCTCAAGCATGGGCGTCCAGGTTGTGGTCATGTGCAATGTACACCGTGCGACGTAGATAGCCGATGCACATATCAGAGAAGGTTTGTAGTTCAGAGCTTCATCTTCAACCAAGCACAACTCGACCAAGAAAAATGCTAGATGTCCAAACTGGCAGAAGGAATTCAATTTCCGTTTGAAGAAAATCTTAGAGACTGAGTGAAGAAAATCAAGAGATCATTGTGGAATTCCCATGTTTACCTTTTTGTCTGCTTGGGAGGCCCTGAGAAACCGTAGCATGAAAACATAAGGAGTTGGTGCATTTAGGCGAAACATTAACTTCTTTAAAACAGCNAAATTGAAGTTACTCCATCATAGGTCAATCCCCATTTGCTATAAAAAGAGAAGAATATATGTTACGCATCGTTCCTACTAAAGAATTACATAGGAGCATTGATACTAATATCAAAACAGAGACCCATCACGAATTGGAATTTGTACAGGCAGTGCTTACCATTCCCAGCATTTGTTCTCTGGTGTATGACTCGGCTGATACACTGAGCAAGTCCATGATCTGTAACCAGGCAAACAAATGTTTTAAGTGTTGGGTTACAGGTATTGACTCAGTAACTAGAGTGCAGTGAGGGTGCCTAATTATTTTAGCAAGTATTTACCCTCGGATGCCAAAAATCCTCATATTTTGATGCCAGCAAGAGTGCAGTGAGGCCAACTAGCTGCAATTCATTTTTCTTGATGCATACTTGGGAAATATACTGGTCTAAGACAGTAACCATGAGAAATAGAGTCTCTTGCATCAAGTCAAATTTCAGATGAACCTGTTAGATTGGAAAGTATTTTCAAAAAGATACAAATAATGCCATGAAATCAATGAAAATATATGTGCAGAGTAAATAATTAAACACAATGTGTACTTCGATAAGCCAATTTATTAATATGCCACGCATATGAGGTGTAATTTCTGTTTGAATCTCCATGTATCTTCTCAGAGGATGATGCTGAGCCTGTTATTTGAGATTGGCAACAGAAAAAGGTCAAAACTTTTATAATTACAGAAAAGGTTAATGCTTAATAACAGTGACAAAGATAAAATTAGTATACAAGTAATGAATATTTCTACCTCCCTAACCCAATAATACTGATAGATGTCATCAACATATTCAGAGACGTCAAGATGGTTATAATCATCGTAAATCTTTGGCAAATACTTTTGTTCCATTAGCCTTGTTTGCTCCTCCCATTGCTAGATGGTTTACATGTTGTTACAAAAATGTCTAGAAAAAATGTACAGATGGTAGGAAAGGAAAGAAATGGACTTTGGAAATAAACCTTCGGGCTTCGGGTAAGTGACGCCAAAGGCTCATTCGTGAGCACAACAATCCGGTGAGCCTGAAAGTACGGAGTTAATATCTTCGCTGTCCAGAAGACCGCTAACATGGCCTTCTCTGGACGGGAATACCTTAACTCCGCATCTCTCAGGGTCTTGCTGACGTAGTAAACCGGATGTTGGGCCCCATGCTCTTCCCTCACGATCACAGTACTTATGGCACAGCCTGCAATTGCCAAGTATAGAGTCAGAACATCTCCAGGCTCCGGCTTGGATAAAACCGGCGGACTTGTGAGATATCTCTTCAGTTCTTCAAATGCTTCTTAACATTCCTATGTCCACTCGAAGGTCGCCCTCTTCTTGATTACCGTAAAGAATGGGTGCGCCTTCTCTGCCAGCTTTGAAAGAAAACGATTCAAAGCCGCCAATCTCCCTGTTAGCCGCTGAACTTCTTTTGCTGTCTTCGGGAGTTCCATCTCCATGATTGCCCTAACTTTCTCCGGGTTTGCCTCAATCCCTTTTCGGCTAACCATATGCCCAAGGAATTTCCCACCCTGAGCAGCAAAAGTACATTTCTTCGGGTTCAATCTCAGATTTACCTTCATCATGATTTCAAAGACCTCTTCAAGGTCCCGGACATGGTCTCGGGCCTCTTTGGACTTGACAATCATGTCATCAACATATGCTTCCATGGTTCGCCCTAAGACGGACTTGAACACCTGAGAAATCATCCGGGTATATGTCGCCCCGGAATTTCTCAGTCCAAAGGCCATCACCAAGTAACAGTACAGCCCTTCTGGGGTCATAAAACTCGTCTTTTCAGCGTCAGCCGAATGCATCCGAATCTGATGGTAGCCGCTGAAAGCGTCCATGAAACTCATTAACTCTGATCCGGGAGTCTCATCCACCATCTCATCGATGTTGGGGAGAGGAAACGGATCCATGGGACATGCCTTGTTCAAATCTGTGTAGTCAACGCACATCCTCCACGAAGGGGGCTTGGGCGCCATAACTACATTTGCCAACCAATCCGGATACTGCACCTCCCGGATGTGACCAATGCTCTGCAAGGTTGCTATCTCCTTCTTGACGAAATCTCTTCTTTCCTGCGACAAATGCCTCCGCTTCTGCTTCACCGGTTTAGCATCCCGTAGGACATTAAGGCGATGAACTGCAATCTTGTGATCCAGCCCTGGCATATCAGCTGGACTCCAAGCAAAGACCCTCTTGAACCTTCTAAGGACTGAAATCACCCGTGATCTGAGTTCAGCCCCCAAGCCCTTGCCAATCCTGACCAACCTTCCCGGCGTGCCTGGCTCTAGTTCCACTTCTTCAACGTCGCCAGCAACTTCTACTCTGGGACGTTTTTCCTCAGCCCTCAGGAGCTGTGCAGTCACCTCTCCCACTTGGGTATCGTACTTAACTGGTTGTTTGGTTGCCTTCAAATACCATGCCCGAGACACTCTCTAAGATCCCCTGGCGATTCCAACTCCGTGGGGGGTTGGAAACTTTATGCACAGGTGACGAGGTGAGATGACACACTCTAAATCTTCCAATCCGGGTCTGCCCAGAATGATGTTTGTGTTGGAGATTATCCCCACCACCACAAACTCCATGTCCAACTTCCGGGTGGCCTTAGTATCCCCTATCTCAACCGGGAGAGTTATTATCCCCTCTGGTTCAATAGAGTCACCAGTGAACCCGGTCAGTGGAGTTTTGATGGGTGATAATTCATCCCTTGTCAAACCAAGAGCCTTGTACGTGTCCATATACATGATATTAACGGAACTTCCCGTATCCACAAGGGTTTTATGGATCAGCAAGTCCATTATATCAATAGTAATCACCAGGGCGTCCCTATGGGGGACCCCCGTCTCTGGCAAATCAGCATTAGAAAATACAATTGGCTCGGTTTTCAATTTCTTACCTTCTGGACCAGCACCTTGTTGATCGTCGCCGCGTTGGCCCACTTTTTCCGGCTTGTGGCTGAGTCTCCGCCAGTATTCCCTCCAATGATGAAGTTACACCCGTGGTGTCTCTTCTGGCGATGCGGTGCGGGTTCCGAATCCTCTTCTTCATCTTCAAGCCCAATGTGGCGCTCCCGGGCCTCAGCCTGGGCCACTTCTTTATCTCTGCACTTTCCATTCTGAGCGTTCCCGGGATTTCCCGCATCTCCATCTTGTACGAACTTCTTCATATGACCCCGGCAGATTAGCCTTGCCATCTCATTCTTCAGAGTATAGCAATCTTCCGTATTGTGATCATTCTTGCGATGGTAAGCACGCCATTTTCCAGTGTCCTCCACATTGCAGACCTTTTGAGAATAGATTGGATAAGTCATGAGTCCCTGCTGTGCAGCGTGGGCCATGACCTCAGCCACCAGAATGTGAAGACTGGATTGGCAGATTTGTGCTTCTCCGAGGTCCCAGGACTTCTGCCCTTTGGGCCATCCGGGAAGCCCTGCTTCTTGTTTTTGAACGGCTTCTTATTTCCCGTCTTCTCTTCTTCTTTAGGAGTCTTCTCTTTCTTCTCCTCCTTTCTCTCCTCCAGGGTCACATACCTCCCGGCCCGGACCATTGCTTCTTCGAAGGTATCCGGGGGATGAGTTGTAAGATCGGTATGAAGGAGTCCGTCCTGTAATGCCGCCGTGAACATGGCCAACCTGAATTTGTCGTCGGTTCCTTCAACCTCCTGGACTCTTTCCTCCATTGAATAAGGAAATTTTTCAAGGATTCTCCGTGCTTCTGTCGCATTGAAGCCAAGTGAGTGAAATGCTTCTTCGGACGGCAGTTCCCGGCAAAGTGCTCTAGGAACCGCAATCCCAATTCATCCCATGAAATATTGCTATGAAATATTAATGTCCGATCGTCAAAACAACTCTATGAAATATTACTATTAAAATTTATTATACTCCTTCGTCCACAAGTAAACTTTCCATTGCGCGTTACGATGTTTGACTGAATTTATTTTCAAATCACTTTATACTCCCTCCATCCTTAAATATTTTTCACACTTGTATTTCTGAGATAAAATATCAAATTTTTTCAATTCATCTTATTTACATATTGGTATAGAAATAAAAAATAAAAATTTACATATCAAAAAATTACATGGAAAATTTTTCAAAATAAAAGGTATCAAGAATATATTTTATTTTATCAAATAACCAATGAAAAACGTAGTAATAAACAAACATTCTCGTGACTACTGAAAAAAGCAAGTGTGGCAAATATTTTGGGACAGAGGGAGTATGAATAATGGTGTAAAATTTAAAAATAAAAATTACATATTAAAAACTATATCAAAAGATCTACAAAACTAGAGGTGACATGGCTATATTATTTTATCAAAATGTGTGACAAAAATAGGTCAACAAAGTTAAAAAAAAGTTTGACTCTGTGAATAGTGAACGAGAAGTTTATTTGTAGACGAAGTGAGTAATTTTTTAAATCAATCAAACATAGTTGAATGTTTTTTTCAAATTAGCCTATTTTAGATGTAAAAACTCATTAAATATGAATAACCGAAGCAAGATTCTTCACTTTTAATTGATCCACGGTGTTTGAGCAAAAGTCGGGAGACCATTTTTTATGATATCTTATTTCAAAAATTGACTAATTTGGGAAAAAATTTGATTAGAAATGATAATTTGGGAGAATAAGTATAAGTTTTAACACTCCGTAAGGTTTTGACTCAATTTTGATGGCGGTTAGTCGAGGGGATTAGAGTGGGTATTATTTTCAATTTACTAGTACTATTTCGGTAATTAGTTCATATTAGGGATTAATTTGGATAAAACATATAGTTATTGAGTATCATTTTGGTAAATTACACTTCTATTTTGGACTCACATATAATTCAATTTTCATTGATTTTGAAGTTTATAATTTTGACTTCTAAGTCAACAAAGCTTGCAGGTGGCAGGTGCAATTGGCATAGGTAGGAGGATGAGTCGGAGTCAGAACTGAGTGAAAGGATTTGCTGAGAAAAGTAGGGGCAAATACTATTAATTTTACGAGCGAACCACCGCAGAGGGATTGTGACTTCCGTGCCCACTCAAATTGAGAGGCCATAAAATCCGTTTGTTGAGATTGGCAAGATATAACACCTAGAGAATTTGTAAAGGTGTTTAGGAATCGAATATGTTTAATTTGATTTGTATATGAAAAAAATGATTCGTATTTGATTAAATCAATTCGAATCCGAATCTAGGAATATAAATACCAAGAGGTCTAATTTGTTTATAATTTGAATTATTCAATTTTTATAAAATATCAACAAACAAATAAATTATGCTATAGACTATTTGTATACGTTAGATTAAAATTGATGGCCAAGATATTTTCAAACTAACCCACCTCATTTACTTACGTTCAAGAATTGTGTGTTAAAAAAATATACCCTTTCAAAATTCGGAGTACGAACAATATTTTATATTCAAATAATTATCAAATTCAAACTTGAATACATGCCATTCTAAACGAACTTGAATTGAATATCTCGATATTTGATTTGATTAGATGTATACACTCCTAAGAATGAGAGCTTCAGTATGAATGAACTCATGTACCGAATAGCGGAATCGAGAAAGAAAATATGGGATGTAATATTTGGAGGGCCAATATCACTACCCATTATTTTTCATTGCCCAAAGATTCAATCAATTTGATTACGTAATTAGAAAGACATGAAAAGATTGATGTGATAATACGAAATAAACATAACATAAATCTTGCATGACCAACAATTTGATCTTAACAACATAGTTGTCAATAACATTCACACCAACATAAACGTCACAAACACACACACACACACAATACTCGAATCAAAGTTCTTGCAAAATACATCATAGAGGCACGTGCTTCTTTGTCCTGAGATATGCAACAAGGCAACGACAACAACACGTATCCCTAACTCATCAAGCAGAGCACCCTGTCCATGTGCATCCTCTTTCTCATATTGCCCTGCACAAAAAGCAGATTACAAAACATGACTTTATTTTTAAACAAGTAAATCCACCTTGAGAGCAGAATTCTATCCTATAGTTTTGCAATACTCTCAGTTGTAAGGTTCTTTCCACTTGTAACTAGGAAGTTATCGCACATAACTAATCGAAGATGAGAAGAAGTCTCGTCTAGTAAAAAACTCAACACGTGTTTTCCCTCCGTACAGCAAAATTTTAGTTCTAATCATGACTGTCCCACCACTCATAATGTAAAAGTAAACCATGTGAGAGTGTCTGAATAAAGAAGAAACAAGAGGATGCAAAACAGGAAAAACTTACAAAGCCTGATACTCCCCAGTGAAACAGCGTACCAAGCCCTCGACCCTGTACACCTGGGTAGAAACCTTTTCTGCAAAAACTCGCCTCCCCCTCACATTGAGAGTGAATCTGGTGCAGTGGACTTTGGGGCCACCACCTGCCCATAAAAGGAAGAAACGGTCTTCTCCCAAGTGAAGGAACAATGAAGGAATATCAAACATGTACGTATCAGGACTATGAAGGAGAGGAAGTGCATTATCATACTCTTCAAATCCCTTCACGGAGAGGCACCATTTGCCCTTCTCAATGTCGAAACATGCCACGTCGGTATGGTTATCTTCGAAAGGGCTATATATTGCATGCAAGAGGTACATTAACCCATTATGGCAAACACCACTCGTGGACAAATCAAAATCATTAAACTCATTGTAACGCACATCAAACTCATTTCTCTTGAAATCGTAGAAGATCGTGCCATCAGTTGTAACGATGATGGCACGCCGAGCACAGCGCATGGGTTGACTAGTAGTAGAATCAGTTACATCTTCATATTCAATTGTGTGTGCAAGCACACATGAGCTCGTAGGGGATTTATCATAATCATCCAATTCTAGCAAGCACGTCCATCCCTTCTCCAACTTATGGGAGTCAAGATAGTGCAAAGTACATAAATTATCCCCATACATTCCCAGTGCATAAATCTTGCCATCCACAGCGAAGACATAGCACAGATTAGGTGCTTTCTCAATAGTAGGGCCATCTTCCCATTTTTTCTCTTCGCTTTGAGTATTTAAATAATGGACACGCCTGATCGGTACATCACAACAATTATCTTCCACACCACTTATGAGGAAAATATGAGATCCCACCCCAACAGGTTCATATGCTATCTCATCCTTTCCCCAGGGTGGCTCGTTAAAGGCCGGGGAGAGAGGGGCATTTGTATCCACATTTACCCCTCGCGGTGGAATAGCAAACCATTTACATGCTTTGGAAAGTGGATCTGTTCCAGTACTATTCCAGACACACAGACGAAAGTAGATCGTGGGTTGTTCTCCAGTTTCAGCTTCTTCCATTTCACAATTCCGTTCTTCTGTTACTCCATTGTTCAACCCTAACATTAAGAACCACAATTCTTCTTAAGGTGGTCTCATGAGGGCATATATATTTTAAAGACACAAATTTTCAACGAATAGGAGTTTAAACAACTCAACGTAAAATATAATTTTAAAACAACGAAAGAATGTCCTAATTATTAGCATTGGAATATTATCTTAGAATCGTTAGTTATTATTGGCATATTACCAACAGTTTACATGGAACAAACAATCAGACTTTTTCAGAAAATTCTGAGCGTGTGAGGACATGGGGAGTTATGAAGCTCTCAACAAAAGCTTCAATCTTCAATCTTTTTGTTTTCCTGTTGTTGCTTGTTGTTCAATCTGTGAATCACCATAGGTAAACACGGAAAGAAAGAACACACACCCGCAATCCCTATCTAGGACCCATAACATTTGGTATCACAGCCACAAACTATGGTAGAACAGAGAGAAACATAATCAAGGGAGGAAAATCAAAGGAAGACCACCATGCTACAACTTTCAATCCCTATCTAGGGCCCAAAACATTTGGTATCACAGCCACAAACTGTGGCTGAAATTTCAGATTACTAAATGCGATCGAAGTCCTTGTGCTGATACAGTTGCAGCCTCGCATGGATTTTATGGAGGAAAATCACCCCACAGCTGAATCTGGAGAACTTCACAGAGA